AAAACCCCAAAAAACTGGCTAACTCTCGGATTTTAATTAAGTTGACCTAGGGTTAAGCCATTGGGTTAAGCTAACAGCCTAACCCAGCTTTGAACAACTGGCCTCTGGTCTATTCGAATTTCGAAACTTGATCTATGACAGTATATGAATATGGAAATTGCTAGATAGTATACTTCAAAATTGAAGATAGTATACTTCAAAATTTTGATATAAAAACGGAAACCTTATTTTGAAGTATACTATCTAGCAATTACCATATGAATATATGGAAGAAAATCTTGGAAAACAGGTTTTTCTGCTGTGTTTGGTTGCTTTTGTAGTTGTAATTTGATTGGTCAATTGAATCGATTCCTGAGTATTGATTGGCTGTTGAGATTGTTCTTTGAGATCGTCTGTGACTGTATTTAGTATTTACAAATCATTTTTCAGCCATTTTCGACTTTCGAGACCGTCATTTGCACAAATTTTAAAAGAAGTTGCTCAATTTATGGTGCCATTTCCTGGCAATTGTTGCCTAAAATCTGGTAATAAAGACAAAATATCAATGGACAGGAACGAAGAGGAGGAATTTATAGCTGGCGTTGTTGAAGGTAAATTTAAGCGAGGGACTATTTTGACTTCGGCGCTGAGTTTTGTTTTGAAAATGATGGACTACAAGTTTTATATTGATGTGCTTTTCTACAGGGTTTTATGGAAGACCGTGGACATTTGATCAACGTAAAGAGTTATTTAGTAGGTAGGAAAATATATGATATGTTGTGAATATTTTAGAAGTGGTTTTAGAATTCAGAGAAGCTTCAATCCGACCTATGAGATGTTTGTAGTCTTGCTAAAACTTTTCAATAGGAAGTGGAATAACTATTTAACTCATGAACATCCAACACTTGAACACTGTGATTTAAACAATGGTCTATGACAGATTAGTATAAAGGTATTAAAGGCACAGCCCTTAGGAGTCATGCCTATTAACCACTGCAGACAATTTTACATATCAAGAGGGAAGTGTTGGGATTATTAATGGGTTGTTCCAGACAAGATCAATACTTCCCCCACACAAAATATTTGTGCTGTCCAGAGAGGGAGGGGCCCCTTTCAGTTCAAGATGGAGAGGGGGGGCGAAGCTTATCTCAAAGTTACTCTTCCAGTCCTGCAGATCACTATTTTGCTTGGAAGGATCGACAAATGTCCAGTCAAAACAAAAAGTGGTTGAACATTTATCAGTTTTGTACCAACTTACTGACAAAATAAAGTTTTTCATGTATTTAATTAAATGATAGCATGATGTATTGCGTGTATGTTGATATGGGCTACCACTAGTGCAATACATCTAAAACTGAATTTATATCTAGCAGTCTTAATGCTTTAGTAGATTAATTCTCTGTCCTGAATTCTGGAAATGCCCTTGAATTAAACAGCATGCAGGCAGCCAACTGGGGACGAGTCAGATCTGGGAGAAAATATTGAGCACCTCCCCATTGCAATGGAACATTAAAGACTGTTTGGCAATAAATTTTGTGGGATATTTTGGCTACGGCCACAAGATAATGTAAATAATGTATGTCAGCCGACTAAAGGGTTCACGACATGTATAGGTCTGTATAGACTTGCCCAAGTCGCTTGCTAGGGACCGCGCGTAGCAAGAAGGGAGCGCTTGAGAAAGACGGAAGCGAGCGACTTGTGTCACTTGCCTGATTTTGAATCTTACTGAAAAATTTGGCGCGAAAATCAATTATGACATTGTGGGCGTTCACCATGTTGATTTCACTAGTTCATTATTGTTTTGGCGTCGTTAGTACAGAATAATAATGAGCATTCACTGACGTCACCGGAGCAAAAATGCACCAGTGAATTTGGCGCGCTTGCGGGTGACAAAAGTCTGTCGCTTCCAGGAACCACGAACCGCGGACTTTGGAAAGTCTAAGGTCTGTACTGTAAATAAGCTATTTGACAAGCATTTATTATTGTGGATGCTTCCCCACGCCCGAAAAACTCGCTTGTTTATATGTCAAAACTTTCAAGAATTAATCAATGCCCCCTATAGGGAAGGGCCCACCCCTGAAAGCAAGAGGCAATCACCAGAGTGAAGCCAAAATTTTGGCTTCACCCATTTATTAGTTGATCATTTATGATGTGATGTATTGTAATTTTAGGTTGAAGAAATTAGGATTAAACTTTTATCTTTATGCACCAAAAGATGATATTAAACATCGAGCGTTATGGAGAGAAATGTATACCCCAGATGAGTTAGGTATATTTATGTACATTACTTTATGCTGAACTCATTTTTTATTTACACTTAATTGTCAGTAGCTTTACAAAATGTAATGGTTAGAATATTTTCACTATAGTGAAAAACAATATTTATTTTATTTTCCAAGACAACTTAAGATCATTAATAAGTTGTGCAAGAGAGCAGAATATAGTGTTTATTTACGCATTGTCACCTGGCTTGGATATGGTCTTTTCAAGTTCTAAAGAAGTTGATACTTTAAAGAACAAGATCAAGCAGGTATGTACAGTCTAGTCTTACTAACAGTGGCTGGTGGGTCACAGGAAGCATTACAAGATCCAACAGGCCATCTTGATAGGGCAGAGAAAATGGTGGATTGGCGGTCAACTTCAGATATGTTCGCACTTGCATTAGCAAGCAAATTTTAAAAACCACATCTCTCAATTTTATTTATTTGCCACCAAACACAAAACTACTAGCCTGCACGCTGCAAGTACATATATGTAGTAACATATACAACAGTAATATATACTACTACATATAATGAAAAGAATATAATTATATAATTATAACTATAATTATATAATTATGTCTTAGTAACATATACTAAGGCATAAAAAAAAATACCTGTGGTTCCGGTTCCCAACTGACCCTATTTTTTTCTGCCGACCCTATTATTTTTTCAACACGATTGACCATGCGACCCTATTTCTCTGGGTGGTTCCAGGCTGCTGCCAAAGTGGCGTCTGTTGTCACACTAATTATTGAAAAAACCATGAAAAAAATGTTAAAAAAAAAAGATTTCCGACCTACCGACTCTAATTTTTTCGAGACATGAAACCGGAACCACAGGTTTTTTTTTGCGCCTAAGTATACATATAATGAAAAGAATTACATAGACATAATTTTCTCACTGTGATAAAGTTCTGTCAGTTGATGGCATATGATGTGGTATCAATCATGATGTTGATGATATTGGTATATTTATTGTAAATTTGTGTGGTTTGGTACGTACTGCATGATATGCTATGGTACTCTATAGTACATGGTGTGAATTATTGCTGCTATAGTAGCTACTGTATGCCAATGGATGGTACTATGTGTGGCTATATTGCTTTGTTATGGTGTGGTACATCTGCCATGGTATGGTGTGTTGTTGTGTACGGTATGTTATATATGATATTGGTTGTAGTGTTAATGGTAGATGGATTGATGGGTTTTGGTTTTATGTTGTGCTATATATGGTCAAAATTGGTAAGGTCTCTTCGATACTCCTGGATGTTAATTTTCACCTTGATTTGTTTGTTCATCTCTATTGTATGCTATTACTCTTATGACATGATAAACTGACTGTATAGTATGTTACTCTGGTATATTGCATTTCAATCAATACAAAGTAAATTAATATTTTCAAATCCAACTATGAGGACTGGACTAGATTACAAGTCCGTGCAGGAGACGAAGCCGAAGACTGGGTCAAAATGCAAGGACCTGAAATCTAGTCCAGTCCTAATTGGAGGATTTGAAATGACATCTCGTATGAATAAATCACTACTAAAGTGAGATCTATATACTTGACCAGGTATCCAATATTACCATGTGAGCAAAATAAAGCGATATGGTTGGCTAATTTATCATGTATTATTAATGAGTTTGACATCTATACTCAATTCACAAAGTCCATGACAGTATACATATAATAGAAAGATTGTCTCACTCCGATAACTGCAGTCTGATCACCACCATATTTTTCAACTTTTTCCATGTAGATAGCAGATCTTGGTTGTGTTGCATTTGCCCTGCTTTATGACGACATTGATCCAGAAATACGTCCTGCTGACAAACATGCATTTGAATCATTTGCCCATGCACAAGTCACTGTCACAAATGAAGTGTTTAAATTTTTGAGCAAAGCCAAATATTTCCTGGTCTGTCCTACAGGTGTGTAAATATAAATATATAAAATGAATTGAATTCATAATTTCCATACGGAAAAGACTAATACGAGAAGATGGCGTTATGAAAATATCTGTCAGAAACAAAGCTACTGCAGTATTTATGTCAAAGAATGTGGAAAACGTTTAATATACTACACACATAATAAAAACGCACAAGTTGTAACAATTACATTATCATTATCAAACTTTCTGCGATCACAGTAGGAATTTTGCATAGTGTTTAACAATGAGTCAGTTCCTTCAAACATTTCTTACAAATTTGTCAAAGCATAGAATTTACCTATGGCATGCAAAATTCTTACTGTGATCACAGAAACTTTGATAGGGTAAAACCAGCCTTCACACCATTGTTTGCAAGGTCGATCAAAGACTTGATGACGATACGTCTAACCATGAATAAAGTGAGAGCTCAACCATTGTTTTCCTGCTTTAGAATACGCAGCATCACGAGCTGTCCCAACTGTTGACAAATCATCTTATCTTTCTACACTTGGTAGTCAACTTCATCCAGCCATTGATATCATGTGGACAGGTCAGTCATCATGTTTGCCATTGTCAGCCTGGCAGTTAATAAAACAATGCAAGGGACTGCACATCAGCAAACCATTTGCTGCTATACTCGAATCCCTCCCCCCCCCAAAAAAAAATTTCAGTGCTTTAGCATAATGATTCCATGTTTTCAGCAACCTGTTCAGATATAATTGTAGGCCAGACGCTCTCTAATGTTACTGTACATTGTCTATTGAGTCCCCAAATCTCTCCTTCACAACTAAGGCGCTGGTCAAACGAAGATGTGAGCTGGCATGAGACATGAGTCACGCATTATACAGGCGACATTTCGAGCTGATTAAGAAAATAAAAAATTGATGAATGTTCCTACTATGTTTTAACTTAAATAAAATACATGATAGTGTTGGGAAAACATTAAGAACAGCTAACCAAGATCTCGTGACTGCCAACTCTCATACACTCTCATACTCGTTTGATCGATCGGACCTAAGAAATAGAGTACAGTACAGGGTGCGATAATTCGCGTACTTACATACCGGAGGTATGGAGTACCGGTCAGGTACGACTAACAATAATGAATTGTCGCACCCTGACAATAGAGCCCCACTCGAACTCCCAAAGGGGGCGGAAAATTTTTCGAGTCAGCGGGGGTTCTAGTTAACGGGGTCGGGGTCGTTTTATGAATCATCACAACCTAAGTTAAGCAGTACCTATCAGCATCAGCTAAATCAGTAATGATCGACGCAACTTTTGAACCTTTTATTACGTTTGTGTATATTATATACCGATATGCTCTGACATTTTGAAGTTTGCCGATCCACGTCTCAAAAATACGTTTTGAGTTAACCGGGTAAATTTGACCAAGGACGAATGAAGTCTGTTGAATTGTCGCACCCTGACAGTAGTTAGCGGGGATTTCGAGTTAGCGGGGATTTCGAGTTAGCGGGGATTTCGAGTTAGCGGGGATTTCGAGTTAACAGAGTTCTACTGTACATGTACACTGATTATAGGTTTATGATTTGACCTGATGGAATTCATGTTAGAGAATTGCGTTCATACTTTAATATTGCTGAGAGTCCGTTCTATATAGTAGGAAACTGCGTTCATTCCAAAGCGTTTTGACTACATTAAGCTCACCTTTCCAAGAAATTGCCTCTTCAAATGTGTGTGAAATAAAAAAAGGAGCTAAATGAAAAATTTACGGTCCACCCCAGCCTAGTCCCAGTCGTTCTGAAGCAAGCGCGAGAAAAAACGCGGATGTAGTATGAGACTGGGACCTAGGTGTCAGGTGTGACGTCACAGCTGAAGGTGCTTCACACCCAGGCATAAAACGTATTTATAAAATATATCAAAGCAGCGTTCAGCGCGAGAGCCTGGGGCTAGGCTGGCTCCACCCATAATTATGAATCCTGATCGCGGGCATCGCCGATTACTATCGGGTACACACGTAAAAACGCACAAGTTGTAACAAACGTGCAGTAGACTATAGCAATGCTGCCCCCAACAACTTGTCAACAAGATGTGTTGCTTGTTCCCAGCTTGTTGACAACTTGCTTCAAGGTTGTTGAGCTCAACAGACTTGTTACAAGTTGTCCCAACAACTTGTTACCGTCCTGCAATTCAACAATTTGTCAACAAGTTGTGAGTCACAATCTTGTAGCAACTTGATAAAATAACAGCGTTGTTACAACTTGTTGACAAGCTTGCTACAAAGCCTGTGGCGAACACATCGTGTTGACAAGTTGTGAGAATTTTACATGTGTACTTGGGTGAACTCAAAAACGATTCTCATTTAGGTCCAAAAGTTGTTTCGAAAGTGATCACAACACATTCCATCAGAGTCGTTGCAAACGTTTTAAAACGTAAGCCAGTCATCTGGGATAACATACACGCAAATGATTACGACCAACGACGATTGTTCCTTGGACCTTACGATGGACGTCCCATTCATTTATACACACATCTGCGCGGTATTCTAACAAACCCAAACTGTGAATTTGAAAGTAACTTTATAGCTATACATACATTGTCCACTTGGATTAAATGTGCACGTGTCACTTTCTTCGGCGAAGAAGAAGCTTCTCCACGGAATACTTCCAATACTAAAGAGACCAAAGACATTATAGAACCTATGGAGGATGAATCCGTTGTTGATTCAAATTTAAGCGGGAACCAATCGGAAAGTAAAGATTTAGGCGTTGATTCAAAGGAGGAAAAAATAGACTCTACCATGGACACAGATATAGAACCTACTACGAGCCCAGTGGTGATTGAACCAGTTTTACCAAAATCTATCACAATTCTCAAAGCGTACGATCCCGAGGAAGCTGTAAAACTTGCAGTCACAGAATGGCTCCAGGAATTCAGTAATCCAAAAAGTGTTATATTTAATACGTACGCTAAAAGTGGAACATTTTCTGTAGTCAATAACTCGACACCAGTTCAAAGTACTGCAAGCATACCAACGCAGACAGATGTGACAAGCGCAATACTTAAAGATTCAGTTAAAGTCATTTCAGCTCCATCGCCTGTGAAAGTAGCCAAGGCGAAAAGCAGAAACAAGACAAAGAAAGATATGGAAGCCGAACGTAAGGTTGCAGTTTATTTTTATATGCGCATTTTTGTTTTTCATTTTGTTCGTTTTAAGATATACATATGAGTCGCGATTTAGGAACAGTTACTATTTTTAACATTTTAGGATTAGGGTTTGGATTAGGGAAAGGGTTAGGATTAGGGTTGGGATTAATATTGATTAATATCCACTCTTACCCACCCTTACCCATGCAGCAAAGAATTCTAAACATAGGTTTTTGCTGGGCATTAAATTTTACAACGAAGAGGCACACCCTAAAAACACCCTGCCCCCTGGTTAAATTTCCTGGTTAATTTAACCCATAGAAATATGGGTTAAATTAACTGTAGCTGGAAAGAGCATCTTAAAATGAGTAAAATTGCAAAGTTTGGTTACGAATTGTTGTAACATGAGGAAAATATAGTTTTGTGAATTTCGCAAATTTTGTATATATTTGCATTACGTGCGGAAAAAAATAACCATTTTCGAGCCGAAAGTGGTTATTTTTACCGCTCGTAATACAAATGTATACAAAATTTGCGAACTTCACAGGGCTATATTTTCTTCGAAACGTCGAGTTTCTGCTTATTTTTTAAGGTAGTAACATTTTGTAACCAATCTTTGCAGTTTTACTCATTCTAAGACGCTCTTTCTGGCTGTGGTGTTGCATTCATAGATATCTTATATACACTATATAGCGCATCTCTTTTAGTAAAATTGAAGCCAAGAGTATTCCAGCGGTTACCCCCATTTGAATAGATGGCGGCCATGTTGGTCGTTCCCACTCGCTAATAAACGGTTAAAAACAACAATAACTTTCATCATCTGAATAGTTTGAAAATGTATTTGGAATAGGGTTAACTTGATGTTTACGTTCCCTGTTTAAGAAATAGAAAACATACGGATTTTCTCATTTCATGGGAACGACCTGAGACTGCAATCACGGCTTCAATTTTTGAATTGCAGAATAGTTAGATGCACTATCTAGTGTATATAAGATATCTATGGTTTCATTTCCTTCTTCTTGCCTTGATCAAAATTTAGTCTATAGCTGGAATCGCCCATTGAAAGATTTATTTTACTTTTCTCGCCTCACTGAAAGGCAGCAATAAAATTTCAATTTAGATGTTCCGGCGGCCGATTCGTGTGTTGGCGAGGAAATGGAAGTAGTGGAAACAAAAACTGAGATTAAAGATGAAGTTTGCCAACATAAACATGAACTACCATTTCGATTAACTGTCGATGATCTTCTCTTATTGGTTGATTTCTTTTATCTTCCTCATCAACATGGCAAGAGAGCAATCCAGATTCTTAACGAGTTCAGATGGTTGAAAGCAAACTCCATCAAGTCTGATGAGATGTCTGATACGGAGAGCGCAAAAAAGGTTTGGACTGAATTTCGTTCTTGAGTAAGGAGTTAGAAGCTGTTGAGAAGGGAAGAGAAGCGTGGGGCATAATATAGGTTACGAAGAAAAAAAGTTAGGAATAAACTAAACTACTTTGTTTATATCGGGGCAGTCCTTTATGATCAAGTTTTACTACTGGAGAAAACACGAATTTCAATTACTACATAGATAGTGATCCAGTTAGGATCTCTGGTTGATCCAGTTTTAATACAGGAGAAAAGCTGAATTTTAAACTTAACGTCATCTGTGCAGTATAGTATACACTATATGTGTATAGACAGGGTTGCCCGGAGACATGTGGGGGCTGAGGCAAGATTGTAAACAACGTTCAATTTTACTATATATTTAATAACATTTAAACACATATCACAATAAAACAGCCGGTTCGGCACTGGCGCTAGCTTTGTTATATTTTCGCCATGTCTGGAGGCGTGAACTCTAAAAAGAAGGCGGGTTGTGGGCGTGCCACACTAGCTTCTGATTGGCGCGTTGTCTCTACGTCATTACTATC